AGTTGAAGTCCACCCATCTTAAAGTTGCTAAGGTTGAGGAACCCTGGGGTAGAGCATGCCCATCCACCCATCTTAAAGTTGCTAAGGTTGAGGAACCCTGGGGTAGAGCATGTAACATGGCACTGCTTTCATTATTTGCCCTTCCCCTTGCCCCTCCTTGTGGATGCCTCTGCACACAACCCCACACCCTCAACAATGCTATTCAGAATTTATGTAACACATTTTTGAACCGCTATCAAGATGACACCAATCAAGGTATATTGCTTTTCCCTTTTTTTTTTTTGCTTCAATAGTAACCCTAATATTATGATAGATTGTGAAACCAGTAATTAAAAACACTAATCTTTATTAAGTACTACTGAAATCACTTCCTATCAATCCCTGTATCTGTCAAATCCTTTCAAGATATTATATACAACTCTTCCCACAATTCCCAAAAGTCCTGGTTTTCAATGGAGTAAACAACCCAATATTCTTGTACTGTAAAATTTTTAGTGGAGAACAAGACCCTGATACAGAACCACAATTACAACCATTCTAAATCAAGTTATCATAGATCCAAACTGTCAGTATCTTTTCAAATTAAGGGATAGTTAAACCTCTTGCATCAAGTGCTTCTAGTAATTAGGATAGTCACTATCAAACATATTTTAAATTAATATAAGCTTTTCTTTATATGTCGGGGGAAACAAATAATATATGTGTCCTTCAAAATAGTGGTGGATGCAATCATCCAAAACATGAAACAGGGTTTTAGGTTCAACTAAAATTGTTTTTCAAGATTCTTAATTGGAGAAATGTGGTAAATTTAGTATTTCACTATTATTCAAAATGCTGGAGAACCAGTGTGGTATAAAAGGTTTGGTACTGGCTAGTACTAGGGAGAGCCAAGTCAAGTCTACCCTCAGCTATCACTAGTGATTTAGGACCAGTCAGTATCTTTCAGCCCAACCTACCTCACAAGGTTCTTATGGGGAGTGGGTGACCATCTGTTATTCCCCTGCTCCTCCTATATTTGGATCCTTGCAGATAAATGCTTGGAACATGAGCTTTGGAAATAATTTGGAAAGGATAATTTAGAATGGAATATCAGTTAGTAGGAAAATAGCTATGTGCCTATTTAACATATTTTTGCATCCCAAAACAGTGCTGTCTTCCTTAAAAAAGAAAAGAGTTCAGTATCAGCATATGCTAATACCTTACACTAAAGAGTTACATAGCTAGCCTCATACTTCCAAAGAATGCAAAATACTGCTATGTTGTTCACGAAGCTACTTGTGCCCATTGAGGCACACAGGATCCTTTTGTAGATCAATGTCTTCGCCATCAATCATTTCATGGAAGTGATGAAAAATTCAACTAGTCTTCTAATAACTTTATTAACTATACTAGAAGCAATTATAGAGAGGTCATGAAAAATTCATTTTGCAGTACCACAGCTTTAATTCTAGAGACATTTCACCCACATTTTTCCTCTAAAAACATAGTCCTGCACTCTGCTTGAATGATTAACATTTTAATGATTATAGCATGGCTTTTTCTTGTACTTATTCTATTGAGATCACAAAAGGAACAAACATAAACCCAGCTATCAAGGTAATGTACAATATCCTCAAGATATGGTATAAGTTCATCATCTATAGCCAGCTGATTATGGCAGCTGGTCATGAAGATAGTTGCAATCTAACTAGTCACATTGGGGGAAAGCTATACTAAGGTATTATGGCACCTAGATATTCCATCTAATGTCCCCAACTCCTGAAAATAAAATCCCTGCATTTACTAATGAGAATTATATTGGGATTGAGACAGAAAATGATTATCTCATCAACTATTTATTTTTACCAAGATTTGCTAGATCTGTATTACTAGTGGCATCCTTCTTTATTCTATTTTAGGAAACTAAATGCTGTATTTTCTCCATATGAAATCCTGGGCCATTCTATAAATGCCATATAAAAGAAAAGTTTTATAAATTTATCCTGCAGAATTCCTATGGACTTGTCATAATATAACTAATAAACCATGTCCATCAAAATAAAATTAAGGTATTTAATTAGCATTTATTATTCTGCCCCCTGCCCCCAAGAATCACAAATCAGAAAGGACAGAAGGAAAGATATAAAAATGAAGGCTGACAAAATGAAAAGTACAAATGCTGATATTTAATTAGTTATACTATAAAATCCAATGGTGACATATTCAAAAAGAGGCTGATATTTAATTTTCTAAAGCAAATGAGAGCAAGAGAGGCAGAGGTTAGCACAATCTATAAAAACCTGAATGCTATAATATAGAGTGATATGGTGCCATGATCCTGGAATCAGCCCCAGCATAAGCGCTTGAATATCTTTTAATTAGTTTTGCTTTCCAAATGCTGTCCTGTCAATAGCTAGTGGATTGACTGCTGGCGATAAATAGCAAATGCCTTCAGGGAGTAGGTAGAGTAGATCTATCTCCCATTATTAAAAGGGGAATGTGTGGTCAAACAAGACGAAGTAGAAAAGGCTTTGTGCTTTTTTGATGCTGATACAAAACAAACTTGGTTTTGCGAAGGTTCAATAAACATAAATATTTAGCAAGTATGTCAACCTTCCCCACCAGATACGTTGGAACTACAATTCCAGAATGCCCTAGAATGCGGCCAGTAGCACATATTAATTCCTACGCAGCTGAACCTAGGTCAGCATTAGTGTTCTGCTGGATCCAAGAAGACAGTGCCAAGAGCTAAACAAGGTGGTCTATTTCCCTTATTTATGTACTGAGTTTGTACACCATCACACACAGCAATCAAGTCCAACTCTCGGTTGTTAACAACAACATACAATGCAAAATTCAGAGTAATATAACTAATATGTGAGAATAGAATTGAATCAAAATTAAAACTAAACAGTGCATATAAATATCATGGAGCAGCACAAGTTCAACAACCAACTATAACACATAGCATTGTATCACTCCATAATACTATTATATTTTCATAATACTTTGTATTTTGTCTACTCAGTCAACACTAACTGAAGATTCAAGCACTTTTTTCTTGTTCTCAGGATAGTAGTAATATCAACTATGAATTTCAAATTTCAGAATGTATGGTAAGCTAAACACTATTTATCCCAGTATCATCACATTTGTCATTGATTTCTGAATCATGTTACAAACTTCTATTGACAATTCAGTAAGTCTGTGACACCCTGAAGTACAAAAATACAACTAAAGAAGCAAAAAGAGCTCAACACTTCACCATTTCGTTGGCATTCTCAAAACCTAATAACTGTGTTTTAAGAGTGTGATGGATCAAAATTCTGATCAGTATCCATGGTTGTACAGATTGATAAATGTATCATAAACCCATGTATATAATAAGGATAGAAACATGTTTTCTTATTCAAAAAAGCTTCCTTTATATCCTGTCTAGACAATTTGAAAAATCAAAGGAACTGGGCCTCTCAGTCATACATCACCACCTGTAAATGATTCCCAAAGATGAAGATGACAGCAGAAGAAATAAAAGATCTTGAAGAATATAAATCCTTGCAGGACTGTCAGAGCAAATGATGAAGGAAAATATATGCAATACAGCTAGAGATAGATCATTTTTACAGCTCTTTCTTTTTGTTGCTATCCATAAGAACTGAAATAAAATACTTAAGTTTTTGTCATATTAGCAGCAAATAATGGAAGCCAACAACAATCATTGGCTTATGATTCATAACTGGAGGCAAACTGCTATTCAAAGGCTAGATTTCATGAACTTAAAGAATGAGACAACCTCAACCTCTGACAGCCACTTCAAATTCTATTCAGTAAGCCAATGCCTGCATTATAAAATCAGATACTTCATGTTGTAAATCCCGCAGACATTTCACCTCTGATCTAATGAATGCAATAAATCACCAACCAGAACAACACGCAGAACTCTTGTGCAGTACAGGTATCTTAAAACAAAATGAAAATGAAAATGAAATACTAGCATAGCTGGATTTTATATTAACAAAATATAGAATATCGGTTATTGTTTCATCCCATAAGCCATCTCAGCACCTGATAGTGTGTTCCCACATCCCATCAAGACAGTAATTAACACAGACTCATGGGACTGAACATAACTTTCCTTCTTCCTCTCTTTCTTTGGTGCCTTATTTACCATCATACCAAATGTTCACTAGAACATGGAAGCTTGCATATCATGTTTATGATCTCGAGTTGGCTTAAAAGGGATAATGTTCTACTATGGATTTTAGAACAAGCAACTGTTCTAAAGAAAAGGAAAACTGAAGTACCCTCATTCTCTCAGTACATATGCACAAGAACGTATTGAATTTCAGCACTTGTTAATAAATACACAGAACTTGCATGTATATCTCCACTGTTTCTTTCTTATTGGTCACACCAAAGACATAGTATCAAGAATCAGAACACTTTCCTCCCTTGTTTCTTTGCAACATCCAAATGCCACTTCTCTCTTGGCTATGAGAGTAGCAGATCTCAGTAGTCTGCTGGAATGTGAATGTGACTCACAAATTGTAGAATGTTTAATCTACAGAAATAAATAATTACTTTCTTCTTCAGATACTATGACTTATCTTGGACCAGTCTGTATAAGAATCCTAACTCCAGATTACATTTGGGCAAGATGATCCATAATGCCCTTCAGAATTTATAGCCACAAAGTAAAAATGTCCCATTGGAGATGTTTTACCTCAAGACTCAGTGATTCTCATTTCAAAAACAGGTACAATGAAATTTTCAACGAACAAACATACGAAGGCTGAGAAAGCTCATCCCTGTTCTTTAGGAAAAGGTCAAGTTTTTCAAATTTCCATCCATTTCTATCCAGTTTTGGATAGTCTTGGATGCTATGAATCTTGGCATGCATCTTCACTAATCATCAAAAGAGTGCTTATGAAATTCAGAGAATACAAATTGATAATATTCCTCAATTCTTTGAAACAAATAGAGAACACTAACCTCTTTCATTTTGTCAAGTTCATTTTGCAGAGCCTGCTTTGTAATTTCTACTTCTATTAATTGCTGTCGTAACTTTTCATTTTCATCTTCTGTGGTGGTACGTTTTTCTTCCACATTTTCCAACTCATGGTGAAGTCTCACAGAAACATCTTTTGCAACCTGAATGGAACACGATTGCAACAGAGCTAACTATGGTCATACAATTATAGAACCTTATATTTGGCAAACAAAAATTAAAACAGCATAGGTATTGTAAATGGCATTGATATAGGAATAATATAAGTAACACTTCAAACATTTATAGTTTGATTCAATTCTGCTATAATATCAATAAATTATTTTCCCAGTGATTTTTCAAAAATGGAAATATGACTGAGGCTCAGTTTATACATGCAGGAATTCCCTTGATAATTTCTACAAAATGGGAATCTGAACAATAATTGTACAACTGAGAGGGCACTGTACCTGCAATTCCCAAGTCAAGAATCAACCCTCTGTTCATTATTATCATTGGATATTATCTAACCAAAATTTAGACCTGAAATTCTTGTCAGTAAAATATTCTCAGTAGCAAAATGACCAGGTACCTGGATAAATACTACTTTTAACAAATGAGAATAATTTGTATTGATAGACTTAAGAAGCACTCACATGTATTTATTTTTAAAAATGCTTTGCTTCTGGTATGCCACTATCAGATGGAATACTTAAGAAGTCAATTTCCGTTTATTAAATTAGAAAGTATTGTTAAAAATGGTCAATGTGTGTTTCTCAGATTTAGAGCTTTTGCCACCAAACACAGTGATCAATACTTTAAATAATTTAATTAAAAGGCAGATTGTTTGTCACTGTAGAACTGATACTCCCTTTATAATTTAACAGACCAAGTTTCCTGATTTGGGTCTATAACAATTACAATTCATTTTTTAAAAACATTGACAATCATAATTTTATTCTAATAATCTTTCTTTTCAAAATAATGCAATTTATCTCAAAATCCAAGCTATATTCAAATATAAACAAAGAAACATGCCATTTTGTAAAGTGAAAATAAGTAGTATCTAGGTAAACTATTTTATTTATCTAGGCCTTCCATCTCCAATGTTTAATGTTGTATTCTTGTAGAACTGATTTATGCAAGACGTTGATGATGTTACCTAGTTGGGTAATGAAACATCTTCAAGCAAACAACCAAGCTCAGAGAGCACCATGAACTCCACAATTCAAACCTGAGCTGCAGATATTCTCTTCTATTGGAATCCAATTATCATCACATTTCGGTATTAGTTATCTATCTATTAACATCCAGATAGCAAGTTTAAGCTTTAAAAATATTAGGCTTACAATCTGATCAAATGCCCATCTTGTCAGACATAAGCACCACTTCCACTAATTTCTACCTGAGTAGGCATGAGAATGCAGTTTTGATCTATTTCTTCTAGATTAAATGCAAAAAAAGAAAGTGTTGGAAGCAATCAAGAAACCTCTTATTTTCCAGAAAGAAGTAACTGTGATTCATTATTTTGCTAATAATCAAAATAAAAACCATTTAATTGTCTGACAGCCTTACTACAAAAAGATCATAAAATCATAACCGTATACCTCATTTCTTACACACACCATAAAGGCATTAAGTTTTGGATGCAGATCTGGTTTAAAGAAAAGAGAGAAAAAAATCATATTGTATCAAGTAATAGAAAGATCTATGCCCTTGACATTTTGATCAATTAACCACATTTATATTTTCCTATTGTGTTAAAGCATTTGTGGTATATTATCTACCTTTTCATATATCTAGATTAGAAGGCATATTTATAATGTGGCCCAAAAAGGTAAAAAAAGGTTGAGTTCTTATATATAGTCACTCCTTTAAATGACCCTTAAGAGCCATGGGTTGCATCATACAAAGGTTCATGAGAACAACTGTAAAAGCAATGGAGCTCAGAACACCTGGCACTCACTCTCCAGTTACTAGAAAAGGGTAAATATGCAAACAAAGATTACCTAAAAACTGAGCTTTCATGTTTAGGATCTCTAGTTAACAAAATTCCTGTCCTAGAAACAAAGTGACTGAGAGAAAGCCAGCTTCTTCTGAAAGATCTCATGAACCTCCTATCAACTGGCCAACTTCTAACCCAGAGATACCTTCAAGTCCTGCTCCAAACTACGAAGAAGTTCTCCATCAATCTCTCCAGTTTGTGCATAACGAAGCCTTTTGCGCTCTGCTTTCCGAAGACGATACTGTAGAATCCTACAATTTTTGTTAGCCCTCTCCAATTCGTGGCGCATTTCCTGTAGCTGGCACGCATCCTCTTCAAAAAAGCTGTCCCTCATCTCATCCATCTCAGTCCTCAGCTCATCTATCTCATTCTGGCATCCAGTCAGAAGGAAGAGGCAGAAACACATTATATAATCGTATTTTGTATAAGTAAAAGAAAAAAAAAAAGGAAACTGAGATTTAAAATAATGTGTATTTTTACACAGATGGATCCCTTATATATACCCAATGAGTATTCCCATGCTTTGACACCTGTATCAGTAACCTATGATAAAATCGTGGGTAGGTATTAATTGTCCAATACTAGCATCAAAAGGAAGTCCAAAGTATGTGTCACAGTTTATCAGATCTATATGAGGATATTACAGATATTTCAAATCTACTCCACAAAATTAGAACTTTCAAGTGAATTATGGTAACCTATTCCTGAATATTTTACCAGTAATTGCACAATATAGTTTGATTTTTAAATGTATCTTTTAAACATACTCCTTTCCTTTGCAGCAGAAATAAACTGTGGTATAAAAGTATTATGTTCTGAAAAATAGAAAAGTTATGTTTTATTCAGTATTCTGTTTAACACACTAGAACAAGATAGTTCCTCAACATATCCATCACAACCTTTTATTATCATGAAGAAAAATCAATCGCAATCTTTTATTGTCATGTATGCAGCAAGTGAGAAGCATGGACCAGGGAGGCATCGCTGCACAAACCCTATATGACTTTTTCTATCATAAAAAATTACCGACAGAAAATCCCAGGCTGGGTTCACACACTGTAGTAAATCATAAAATGCTTTGTTTAATTTGCCTTAGAATGCCACCTGGGCCTAGCCATTGTGGCTTGTAAAAGACCATTATAGTTCAGTGCAATGGATAAATCCAAGGAATTTTGGGCTTATTCAATAAGCCATGTTTTAAAAACCATAGCTAAGTGTGAACACAGCCATCATATCTGAAATGGCCAGCTTGGCCAGATGACCCCATCAAGAGGACGCCCCCCCCAACATCTGTTAAGAAGTTTCCCAGGGGAAGAAAACAGAAGCTTCATCTCTAGAAAACCGAAAGGGATGTTTTGATCGATCGATCCATTTCAATGCTCTCCCACAGAGGAAATTTCCTGGGCAATACGTGATGGGGGGCAGGGCAAGCATCCACGCACGCTAAGACTCCTCTCCTCCCCAGGAAGGAAAATAGATGGACGAACAGCCCTATTGCTCAACGCTCGCCTGTAACGCGGGTTCTCGTTGGGAGGAGAATAAAAGATCCCGCACCCCCAGTTCCGGCTGGGCCACACCCTCCGTTCCCCACCCCCGCTCACCTTTAGGGCGTCGTTCTCCTCCCGCACTTTCTTCACCTCCTCCAGCAGCTCCTGGGGCCGCCGAGGGCTCAAGCTCGAGACGCCATCCGGGGCTCGGCCACGGCCGTTGCCCTCTCCGACCCCTCCCGGCGCCATTGGCGAGGGGGTGGAAGAGGAGGAGGAGGAGGCCGCGGAGGGGGCACCGCCGTCCAGGTCGCCGCCCGGGCTTTGCATCTGGGCCGCCGCGCCTCCCCTTTCTCGCGACCGAACGGGAGGCGCT